AGACTTAAAAACAACTTATTTAATACTCAAAAGATGCAGACAATGTGGGAGCCTTTTGTCAGCAGGTATAATACAAAACAATATTTTGTTGTAGAGTAATGTGCATTACCTTTATTGGTCATTTTCTTTTTAAAGGAAAACTGTAATTTATAGACAGATTCCATGCACAAAAACATTTGAAGAGAGCAACTGTCTCGTCCTTTGTTTCTTCACACATCTGACTCTGTGTTGTTACCTCTTATCCAGTTCAGCTGCAGTCACACTGCTAAAGACAAAGCATATGTTGCAAAGCATAGTCATTCCTGGACAATGCAGATGGTAGCACGCGCTGTGTGTCCTTGCTTTTGTTTGATACAGTAGGTGAAGTGAAGAAAGAATGTTCATCATGTTAAGATTTTGAGTATTGTTAATGAAGAGAATTAAATTTAATGCAGCCACGTTATGTTAGATTAATGACAGGTCCTAGTTTTTTTTATTATTTTCTCAAATTAAAGCATCATGAGACTTTCACAAGCAAGGCTCACGATACTCCTCTTCAACCTTAGCATATTATTGAACCACTGAATATTACATGCTTTTGATTGTTCAGTTGCTTGTCATATTCAGCACTGAAACAACAAAGGGGACTGCATCCTAGAAAATCCAACAATTTAAGTCTGGTTTATTTTATATAAATTATTTCTGTAATCTAATAAAGATGCCATTTCTTTAAAATATTGGGCTTCTCATTTACAGATAACCTGTTTTGGAAGTCTTCTCTTTACCACTAAAGCCCCTGCAGCATCCAAACAAGCTACATCTACTCTCGTACACCTGTACACTCTAAACAATCAGTCCCCTTCATATTGAGGGGATTTCTTGTTTAATACACTGTTGGTTTGCCAAGAGAGAAATAAAAGTTAACAGTAAGTCTGCCACTGCTCTCTTCACTTTTTCATCTTTTATCGAACACATTTATACCCTCTGCAAGTCATGCAAAACTGGCATTTCCCCCGTCCCCCTCAGTTGAGTTCATCTGCTTCTCTTTGCATATGTAACTCTCAAATACACAAGAATGAACACATGCATGTGAAAATGTATCTTCTCTCCTAATAGTGTGTTAAAAAAAATACAAAAACATTATTTCATTTTCTCTTGTCCAACTCCAACAAATAGTACTTTAAATAACAACAAAAACTGATCATTTGGGAAATTTTCCTGCTACAGTGTTGCTTATGCATTTTCTATTTAACCAACACCAAGATGGTGAAGGTTTTTCCATGCTACATAATGCATTCTGAGTTTACATTAGTCGTAACTTAAAATACAGTAATATAAATATTAGTCTTCTAAAATACAAAGTAAGATCCATAAATTGATAACTGTGAATATTTCCAGCAGCTGGACTTCTACACCATCTGCAAATATTTAGAGGAAACAGTTGTTTTACTCTGAGCTGATACATCCAAGGTGTATGGGTGAGACTTGAGAGGGTCAATACAATAGCAGTAAGGCGTTAGTATTCTTCAACAGCAGTACAGAATTTCTGCAAAGCCTGACTAAACCTTCAATCATCAAGCTAGCTGGCAACCACCGTCTCCCCCCCTGCTCCACTCTCACCTTCATCTTCCTCTCCCACCTCCCTTCACTCTTGCTCCCTGTCAGCTCCCATCAGCCTCCCCTCTGTGATGCTCAGAGAGGAATTTTACAGCTGCTGTCAGCTTACTATTCAGGCACACATACACATAAGGAGCAAAAACACACAGGCACACGAATACACGCATGTACGGGCTCACACTCAAACTCACAAAGCACAAAGACGCACACATACATAAATCACATAAGAGAGTTTGCACACAAAGTCACATATGCTCGCCACAAGCATACACTCTCATGCACACTCGCGCACATGTTGCCTTGATGACAGTTTGAGACAGCTAATTACATGAGACCATGGAGGGAAAACTACCTGGAGAGAGTAAGGCAGAAAGAAACATTTAGACCTGCATTGTGAGACTCATTGGAATAGTTCAACATTTTTGGGAAATGCACTTATTCTATTTCTTGACGAGAGATAGATGGAAAGATCAACATCATTCTCTCCACCTCTGTACAGCAAATATGAAGCTACAACAAGCAGCCATCTCACTTAGCTTAGCATTAAGTCTAGAAACAGTGGGAAACGGCTAGCCTAGCTTTGTCAAAGCTAACAAAATCTACCAGCACATCTAAAGCCCCCTAATTAACACATTGTATCTTGTTTGATTTTTACTCATTTTTTAAGTGTAAAAATGACAATTCACTGTTTTACAGGGTCGTGTCAAACTATTTTTTTGGCTACAATAAGTTGCCAAGAAACCAGCAGAAACTGGTCATTTTTACATTTAGGTGTTTGTGCAGATTAAACAAACAAGAAATAACTAGTGAGCTTTACAGTCTGTGTTAAGATAAGTTAGTCAGCTGCTGGTCATAGTTTCGTACTCGGTGTATAGTCATGTGAATGATGTCAGTCTTCTCATCTCATTCTCAACAAGAAAGCAAATAAGCGTTTTCTTATGTATGTGCAAGTATGTCTGTGAAAAAAAGATCATTACGTTTGCATTCCTTATTTCAGACAAGTATTCAGATTAAACTCCTCCTGGCATGAACAGCAAAATAATATGAACGTTTTCAGCTTGTCTGATGTAAGTTGGACTACATGCCACATGTATTTGAAAATACATGTGATTGAATGAGCTCCCTTTATGTGCCAGCTCTTTGCCTTTGTAGAAGCCCAGATGATATTGAAGGCAAGGCAATCAGGCAAACAGTCAAGCTGATAGAGAGAAAGGCAAGCAGACAAACAAGCATTCAGACAAGCAGGCAGACTGTGAGGCATACAGGAGCTCAGAGGTTCAGAGGTCAAATCACTCACGGCAGCCAGCTCAGTTTGGACTACAGGGGGTTTCTTTATGTTCAGCTCCTTCAAACAATACGGCGTCTTCTCTTTATTTCTCAGCCTGCTGTTTTCGATCTACCCGCACACACACCCCCACCTCCCATAGACAAAATGAAGCATACTACTGTACATCACAACACTATGCGGTCAGACTGTTCCAAAGTTCAAAGGGTTGGCAGCTTTCCCATCAGCTCTGTGCATTTGCATTTGTTGAACAAATAGATAGAACAGGCCAATACAGTAATAAGTGAGCAGCATGTTTCCCATACATCCACAAGACCAGTCACAACGGTGCAGAGTGAGTATTGCATTGCAGCGTGTGCACACGTGTTCGAGTAAAGGGGCGGGGGGTGGGGGGGCTAAAGGAGGAGGGGTGATTTAACTTCAGCAGCAGCTGACACTATAAAGATTACCTGAGCCTCAGAACATATGGTAAGAATTCTCCTCATGATGGCATTTCTCACTGACTAAATCCAGAATTGGCAAACTTGGGCAGAAATCTGGAAGTAAGTTTTGTATATGTATCAGTTTTACAAGCTAAGGGCAGATCACCCTCAGGTTGACAATGTTCAAACATTTATGATTTGCAAATCAAACTTCTTATCTGTGGGGAGTTGCACTAAGGGGAAAGTTGGTCATTTGGTTTTGTTATCACCGTATTGTCTCATTTATTCCCTTCCTGTCATTCGAAACAAATAAATCTTTCATGTGTGACACTGTCGCTAATCTAACATGACACAGACCATTTGGCAGATGCATGAAATGCTTTGCACTCCAGAGAGAAACAAACCCTCGGGATAGAGTGTCACAGAGAGCTGAAGTCCTGTCCCACTTTTAGGTCCAGCCTCTGTTCCTCTAGCATCAATTGCTCAGTGTAATTTGTCACAGAGGGTGTCTCTCATCACTCTCTCTGAAATGCTGAAACATGACACTGGAGTTTTCTTTACATTTTCTGAACTGCATGACAATCTACTGTGCTGGCTAGTGCAACAAACAACAAAAATACGTTTTCATTCAATCAGCATAGATGTCATCTTCATACTCCAAATCTACAAATTAAAGAAAAGTATGCAAAAAATACATTGCACTTTCTTCATTTCAATATACTCTCTCATACAGATATTCTGACATAGTGCCAAAAAGATCACACGTAAACCGTCACACATTTATTTCTCCTGCCACACAGCAGAAATCTCATCTGGTTTTCTTTTGGGAAGGATGAAATGCTCCAGAATATGAAACAAGCGCTCCCAATCCTTTGGCTCCCACACTCTTAAGCACTTCCATGAATGATTGTGGGGAGTTAAGAAATGTTGGCACGCTGCCTATCAGTGCAGCTGCAGAATATGGGAGAGATGGGATTAAACAGGGTCAAATTTCAGACTGTAATCCATCACAAATTACTGATTACCTGCTGCAGGGTGTAATCTGCAGATCACGTTTGGGTTACAAGATCCAGACTACTGAATTCAAATAAACATTTTCATTCCTGTATGTATACATACTCTGAAAATGCATCATCATTTTCAAACGCACTGATGTGGAACAAACGTTACAGAGCATGTAAAGAGATGTAATTTGTTGCCTAATTATCCTGCAAGCAAACAGGACATGCAACCTGTTTTCTTCTTTTCATCACACACTGACTCTGTTCCTCTCTCTCACACACACACACACACACACACACACACACACACACACACGCACACACATACACACACATCTCCTGCAAAGTCAACAGATGGATACAAAACCTGTCCCTCAGCACAGGTGTCAAATGTGATTGGCTATAGGCTGTGGGCTACCTATCACCCCCCCTCACTCACCCACCCACCCACCACCCACCCCTGAAAAGGCACACACACACACACACACACACACAGACTAGAGAGAGAGAGAGAGAGAGAGAGAGAGAGAGGGCGAGAGAGAGAGCGAGAGAGAGAGAGAGCCAGTCGTCAGCACCCTTGTGTTCAGTGCTCCCGGGAGAAACAGATTCAGACTCAGTGCGACTTTCATAGACCGCTATTGCCAAGCCGAGACGCAGCCTATTTAAGACAATCACATGATTTCACTGGGAGTCAAAATGGTCCGCGGGGGTCACTGGGTAGAGAGAGAGAGGGAGCGGTAGAGTGAGCGTGTATGAAAGAGAGAGAGAGTGTGGGGGAGAGAGAGAGAGAGAGAGAGAGAGAGAGAGAGAGAGAGAGAGAGAGAGAGAGAGAGAGAGAGAGACCTACTGGTCGTACTGTCTGAGTGAAATAAAGGAAAATGACTTGCCGGGAGAGAGAAGTTGAGTTCATGCGATTTGGCGCCTTGGGATACTGCGCTGGGAAATGAATGGAGACCAAAGTGGCACAACTGAAGAAGCCTGCATCTGAAAGTCGTTGATGCCTCATTCATCACAAGTCCCGCAGAACTGCTGCTGCTGCCTCTGGACTGGTTTATTGAAGCGCTTATTGGGACCGTTGGACTGTTGGGAAGTGTTTTACCTATAGGCTTCAGTTTTTGGGGGGGTAAAGGTGATCCACAGACATGACTTTCTTACGGATTTGTGCAGATTGGAAAAACTGCACGTTGCTCTTTTTCCATCTCTTTTGTTTCTTCACACTGGGCAAAGTAAGTCAGTTGTATTGCCTCCGCTGCGCCTGTACGCACATGCATGCAGAGCTCATAAAGTTGTCAACACTTCATTGGACTAAGTGCCGAGTTAGGATCATTTTCCGTGATAATTTGCAGGATAGGCTGCGCAGTCTCATTTACATTTCCTTTCTTGCAGAGCCTGCTTTCGGGTACTGGGGCTGACAGTGCAGAATCTCATCAGGAAGCATCGGATTTACTCCGATTTCTCAATTTACCTCCACACACAGGTATGTCGAGTGTTGGGGGGGGGGGGGTCTCACAGATTTCAGCAGTGTTTCTGCGACTTAAAGTTTTCATCGTCGGGAAGTGTGCACTATGATCCGGTTTACAGTACGGTGCAATTAGATTAAAAGTAAAACCATCCACTGCATCCCTCTAACAGCCAGCAGCATCAAACAGCGCTCACCTGCGCTACGTGCTGCCTCTCTTCACCGCTGGGGGGCGACCTGCACCCTGACACGGAGCCATCAGAGTGTGCGGCTCCAGTGGAGCTCAAGCTGGGGTCCACGACAAAATAAGGAGTAGGCCTAGTTAAAATTTGTAATAGATCATTTCACTTGTTTCTGTGAAACGAACTTTTGGTTGATATGGTAATAAGCAGTTAGAAGAAACTTATCCATAACACAGTGAAAGCGACTCCCTCATATTTATACACTTAGGTTGTTACAAGGCACTGTGGAGTCAGTCATAAAAGATGATGCACTGATGCCTGTTATGGCTGCTTCGTCAGTTCAGTAATTAGTGCAAGCAGGAAGTGCGAGACTTTCATCTGTTCTTTGTTTTGTGGATCTAACCCCATGTGGTGTGCTGAGTCAGCAACTACTTTGGCTGTGCATTCTCCTTCAGATCTTTTTTTTTTTTTTTTTCAGTTACCATGAAAAGCGGGGACACAAACAAATAAACAAATGTCAAAACTCCTTTCACTGGGCACATGTGGAGATGATCTGGAGCAGAAGTGAGGGGAAGCCCTCATTTCAGTTTCAGATCATTTCACAGACAGCGCTCTGACAACTGTTAATGTGTTTAACGTTCATAAAGATATGTTAGAGTGGATGAGGTAAGAGTTCACGTGTTCAATCTTTTGTTAAGTTTAAGCCAAGGTATCCAATGGTCAGAGTGCCTATCAGCACTAATGGCACTCAGGAGCTACTAAACCAACAAACTAACTACTGCAGGATCTTGTGTGTGTGTGTGTGTGTGTGTGTGTGTGTGTGTGTGTGTGTGTGTGTGTGTGTGTGTGTGTGTGTGTGTGTATGTGTGTGTGTGTGTGTGTGTGTGTGTGTGTGTGTGTGTGTGTGTGTGTGTGTGCATTCTGTCCCTGTCCCTGCAGACTCTTTGTTTGTATACTGTCAGATATGGGTCACTGCAGCTGGTTTTTGAGTTAGGGCAGTACAAACACAGTTGAGTAAGTGTAAATGTGTGTGTGTGTGTGCGTGCGTGAGTGCGTGTGTGTGTGTGTGTTGGGGGGTGGTGGACAAAGCAACATATAGAGAAGACCGTTTTCTGGTTTAGCCTAAGTGCTTTGGTGTCTGTGCAGAAAGAGGCTTGAGACCTGAGGCACCTGAAGTGTTTGCTCTTTGCAGTCCTGCAGCTCTCTGGGTAGATCACAGTTGTAACATTACAAGGATTGGAGGTTTGCTTCCCACTATGACCACCCATGCTAAAACATATGCAGCCATGGCACTGCAAAGTGCTTTAAATAAATGCATCCACTAATAAGTATATGTCATATTGTGTGTAGGGGCTTTAAGTCAGCCTATCTAAAATGCACCAAATAGCCAAGTTCAAACCTCAGGCATTCACACTGCCAGTGATGACACACTGTCTGTCACCCTGCGTGTTTCTCCCACTGACTGCCAAAACATGTCTGTCTCTGTGCTATATTTACTCATTATTCAGACTTGCTAAAGCAGGTCATACTGTACGGTAACTGACTCTGGCCCTTGTTGACTGTAGGTCCAAGGTTGCTGTTATTTCTGTGCACTTTTAGCTGATAAAATGACCGTGTATCATTTTCCCATGGCAGGACAGAGCACATTTGCAATGGCCATTACAACACTGTAACAAAATCAATGGTGCTTGCTGGTTACTCAAAGACCCAAAGTGTATCAAGAGCATAATATCTCCAGGCGTGTAATGGCGTAGAGTATCCAACACTTTCTATTACTAATAAGACCCCGCTACAGTAACAAACGTTAATGGAAAACAATATTTCTCCCAACATCAGTTAGAGGAGAAACAATTCTCACATTTTGTTGCAATTTATATATTTATGTGTGTTTGCAAGAGGCATTATGTCCAGAAACCCTGCAATGTAACCCACAGCCTTAGAAACAATTACATGCCTCATTCCTGACACAGGATGCCCTCCTTTAGTAGGTCAGCTCATTCTTACTCAAAGGATGAACATCAGCGGCGTCTACTGTCATGATATCCTCTGGAAAACCAATTTTGGTGCAGCTCAAGGAGTCAGTCAGCTACTCTTTTGATTTGACCTTTGGAGGAAAGCAGGTTAGTTTCTGTGGCCACAGCACTATTAGACATTTAACTGGTATAAGAGAGCAGGCCTGTGACCTGCCACCAGCTCTCTTTATGACCTGCAGTTATCCAGCCTGAGCTTGTAGTAAAAACCGTAGTAAAACACTAGGTCAAACATGATTCACTCTCCACTGAAGGGCCTGTGCTGGAATTGTCTAGAACCCTTCCTTTTCTTGTAACTCTTTCTTGACCCTTCCAGCAAAAGTATATAAGGCAGGTCAAGGAGAATTCATAAAGGAACGGAAAAGGTTTTCTTCAGTCCGTGATGCAGCCAAGGTAGCAGCTGACACAGCATGCAGTATATAAAAGTAAATGATGTTGACATATCAAATTAGTACGGACTGGCCACAATGACAACAAGGACGATGTGTTTTATTTTTGCCAAGTTGCATCTACAAAATATAGTCCATTACTTCTAGCACCATAGATTTCTCTATAATAGAAATAATAATATCCTCCACTCTTTGATCCCATGAAGCTCCCATAGCCGACATTAGATTTTTGTCTTTAAACTGGATGCTTTTCACCAGCTTAACTACCACTCTCATATTCTCTCCCCATCTCTTGCCATTGCGTTTAAATCACTGTTTCACTTGTCATAAATTTTGCAAACACCAAAATAATCTCCCCCTTTCTCTCCAGAATATGAGATTGTATCTCCATATGAGGTCAACCACCAAGGTGTTTACATCTCTCATGAAGTTGCCCACCATCAGCGCAGAAGGCGACGCAGATCCCTGACCCCAGATACGGACTCATCAAACACTGATAGCAGCAGTGAAATGGTCCACTTCCGGCTGAGTGGCTTGGGGCAGGACTTCCACATGGAGCTGAGGGAGGCCTCAGAGAGCCTGATTGCACCTGGCTTCACCATCCAGGTCCTGGGAAAGAACGGCACCAAGAGCCTGAGGGCCTACCACCAGGACGACCTCTGCTTTTACCAGGGGTCGCTGAGGTCGAGGGTCAACTCCTCGGTGGCACTGTCTACATGCATGGGGATGGTGAGTCTGAACGTGCACGGAGTCGGGTTGCAGGAGGGTTTGGATGAGAAAGCGGGAGTAGATGAGCTGGAGCTGGGTTGGTTTGTGTGTTCGCATCAGTGAAAAGGACCTCAGGGTCAGGTAATTTGAAAGAATGTGTCTTGGACATTTTTATTTTAGTTAAGTTTTGGCAGCATTTAGATTGATCTACCAAGTGAATACTGTAATTGCACTTACTGACCTAGAAGAAATAGGGAGCCTGCGAGCCAAATTTCTTACATTTGGCTCATCCTGGGACCCTGATAATATAAACACAGCATTAGTTTTCTTGTCATGCTGAAACCCAGAGAGGGAGAGAGACAGACGTCCATGACCCTTTTTGGATTTCAAGTCACAGTTTAGAAAACACTGAAATAGAGCAGGACAAGGAAGAAGTAAATGACCAAAAGCAAAAATGGCCTACATGTACTGTAATTTTGGGTTAGAAGATATTAGACATAAGATGCTAATCAGACAATGAGCTAAAGGAAAGAGTGAGAGGGAAAAGAGGGATGAAAGGAGAAGAAAATCAGATTACAGACAGCCAGTAAATCTAGATAAAACCACAATTTTTTTCATTGTAAGACACTGTCTTTTTCTTTGACACATACACAGCCATCAAGCAGTCCTTTCAGCGTGCTACTGTGAGACTGCCTTTCACACTGCACTTGAGTCGGTGCATTGTCTGTCTGGTCTGGTCATAACATTGGCTTGTACTTGACTCCAGTTGACTTAAAAACCCACTGGCTAAGTTGGCAAGTCATGCACACAAGTTTCTTCCTTCAGTCTGTCCTGCATCATTAGTTCTTTCTCATTCCGTGTATATTGCACATTTGCCTAAATCAGCTAATGAATAACTAATGAATGGAAAAGTCAAGTCTGCAAACACCACAGAATGTTTGGTCTACAAGCCAGGAAAATCCGAAAAACACACACATGCCAAATATGCCAAAACAATGTTTTGGTGGTATTTCATCTTCTTATTTAGCATACAGTATACTGTTAGACCAGTTTTCATGGCCTACACATGAAGTGCACATCACAAATATAAATCTTTATTTCATATTTCTTAAGCATGAGTGGCACCTTTTGTAGTAGGTTCTCAACTCAAGAGCATTAATCTTTGCTGATCCACAGCTGGACCCATAAATAGCAAACTGACTGTGTGCAAACTGCAAAATACGGAAAATATAATTGAACAGAATTGTCTTTGAAGGAAGGGTGGGGTGCTAGCATGTGAATGGATGGCAACTGGATAGCAAGCTAACCTTGGCAATGTATGTAATATAATATTAGTGTGATATACCACATAATAAAAGCTACACAATAAGATATCCAATCCAAAACGGAGCAGATTTATTGGTGTCAAATTCAGATCAGATCAGTTATTAACAGCAGTACAGCTTTCGTTTGTGATAGGTTGGACTGAAGTGTGTGAAAGTCTGTAATTGTTCTGGTGGTGTCTGGGGGCAGTTTTGGTTTCTTTTCTATCTCTTTTCATGTAATACACCCAACTTGTCCTGGATAAAAGTCGTTATTTCAACATGAAGGATAACATTGCTGAATGGACGGATTCTAATTGTTACCCTCGGACTTGTTTGTGTTCAGTGGAGAAAGTTGGCCAAATTTCAGTTCTTGCCTTGGTGGTCCTCCTTTGCTGCATGAAAATAAAGGAAACAGTACTGTAAGAATGACATTAAGTAAGCTTAAGTGAGGCAGCTCCACCCTAAGACCTCAAGTGTTATACTAGACCCTCTTAGTCGTCTGGACTAGAGAACAAAGGATTTAATGAATACACACTAGTTCCTTCAGTCTTGAACTCACATAAACATATTATTTTAGAACTCAACAATCACTGGAGACGGAGGCGGCAACTGGGCAGAAGGCAGAGAAACGTCTGTAATGTTACTTATGCACTGAAATACCAATGCAGTCTTGAGGTTGCCAGTTTGAAAGAAGGAATTGTGTCTTGAGAGCACTCAAGATTGTGGTCATATAAGCTTTGCATCTGAAGGACCTCATTACAGCCAAAATTAAATATGGTCATTGAAATGTGACTGTCTGAAATCACTGTCTTTTCACAGTTTTAACCAAACAAATTCCTTGAAAAACCACTACGACCACATTTCACTTGAACTTGGAAATTTTTTTTTTTGTTTTAATTGTAATAAATTCCAGGCCTGACTTTGCTGTTTATATTTTCATTGTGGAGGACCACTGCTGTGTCTGAGAATTGCCCTCTAAAACAACAGACAGAGAATGGCACATCTCCAGGGATGCTTCTTCTTCCTCTGTGCGTGCATGTGTGTGTGTGTGTGTGTGTGAGAGAGAGGGAGAGAGAGAGAGAGAGAGAGAGAGAGAGATAGAGAGCATGTGTGTATGTGTGTGCATGTCTGCATTTCAGACCAGATCCCAATAAAAGATTCAGCCAAAAGGTCCAGGGTTGCAGAGACTGTAAACGTGGTTCTCACGACTGAGGCCGACTAAGATGGACTGGGTCAGTGAATCAATGGGAATTGGATTTTTTTCTGATGTGAATTGGGGAACTTTGAAGCTATATCAGCAGACAAAGGTATTTAGACTCCTGGGAAAAGCTAAAGATACCATTTTTCAAAAATGTCAAAATCTCTCATCTATCAGTCTCTGAACTGCGTATTTATTTTATCAATATAGGAATATGATCACATTTACAACATGATCACATATCAAGTCAACTACTGAATATAAGATGGATGTTTTCATTCATTCCTACATTCACTTAAAACCATGATTTATATAGATTAGAAAATGCATATGGGTAATTATAATTCAATTTTTATCTTTAAATGTTACATACTTATCCACCTGTAGTACCTAAACAACTACGCTTTTGAAATAGTGTGTGTGTTTAACTGTGTGGCGCGCACTCATGTACACATACCCTTTGCTCCAGATAGATGCCTATGAAAACAAAGTAACAAAGTTTACTGGGCCATTCGAAAGCTCATAAGAGACCTTGCGCTTTTGGTCAGGCAACAGGTAAACATTGACCAGAGGAACCCAGATCAATATCTGTATCAGTTTGAGCAAACTGCAACATGATGAGACCATTTCATCTCCTTTGTTTGCTCTTTCATTGTTTGAGATATTTTACGCAATAAGGCAGTTTTCAGAATTGAACCTGACCTAGACATCACATTTAGCAGAATCTACCATGGACAAGTCCTTTTGCTGCAAAACAAAACTAAAGCTTACTACCATGTTTACCATGGAAGTATAATGTAATTGCACTGTTTGCTGTAAACATTATATGACTTTATTGAGTCTTTTTTTTTTGTCTTTCGCATTTTTTGGTGTAAAGATGGAGTCATCCTTGTTGTGAAAGATTGAACATTGAATCTGAATTGAGAGTGACTTACACAGCCTGTATGTTAGTGTCTTCTCAGGCTCGCTGATGGATGCAAAGAGAAAGATGACGAAAGATCAGCGTGAAAAAGGGAGAGATGTAGAGATGAAGGCAATAAGGGTCATTGTTTCCTCCATGGCATTTTGAAGTGCTGAAACCCCCTTGTAAGGAGTGTTATGTTGTAAAGCCTGTCTATAAGTTGCCTTTTCAACTCCTCTCTTCTGGCAGCCCATATAGTGGTTAGCCCCACTTTGATGACAGTAGGGAGTTCAACCATAAAAATCTCTTACTTACAGGCAAGGAATTGGTGGAATAAAAGCCGCAGGCCAGTCCCACTGACTGCACTATTCACCTGCCAAATGGTTTGAGACTGTGCACAGTGGACTACACACATGTGGAGGGGGAGATCATAAAACAGGTCTTCCTCTGTGTCGACTTTATGCTGCAGCGTAATCCGATTTAGTCTGGCTTTTATGGGGGGTGAGGGAGTTGAGCGGTGAGTACAGTGACATGCAGGCATTGTTTAACTCTGATACCATGAATCATTATTTTTTTCCCTGTATGTGATATCCTGTGGGATTTTTAGCCATGCCAGCAACGTGGCTTACAGACGCCATTTGGTTGGTCTAAAATATGTCAAAATCTACTGGACGGATTTGCACAAAGTTTAGTACAGATATTTATAGTCACAAGAAGATAGCGTCTACTAACTTTAATGATCCCTTAACTTCTCATTTAGCACAATCATCAGGTCAACATTTCAGTTTGGTGTGACTAAATACTTGCAGACATTACCATCGATTTCAGCTGTACTTTGTTGTTTACTGCTTATCAGAAAATGTTACATTAAAGTAAGATGGTGAATATGATAAACATTATACGTCCTTAACTTCAGCCTGTTGGAATTGTTATTATAAGCATGTTAGCACGCTGAAGTTAGCACTGAGCTCAAAAAACAGAGTAAAGCCTGTGAGAGCTGCTTGCATGGCTGTGGATAGTTAGGCCCAATCCCATTCCTCATTTTTCCCCCTACCCCTTCCCCTACCCTTTGCCCCTTGCCCCTTGGGACTGAGTTACAAGGGGTAGTGGTTTAAATCTACCCCTACGAAATGAGACACCCCTTTAAGAAAGTGATACACCATAAAAAGCAGTGTATTCCTGCTTTGCCTCCATAACGGTAAATCACACTGACATTACCATTTATTCGATGAAAATCATGGACGAAAGTGATTCAATTTTCAATTAGCTAGATAGCTACCGAGACATCAGCATATTACTAGCGATTTCTTTTGTGGAAAAAGAGGACCATAATTAATTGAAAACACATTAAACTAAGACAATACAATGGTTGTTGTAATTTTTAAATCTTTATGACCTGAGAAAATACATTTGTGAGTTTCTTTGGTTGCTTGGGTCGGTTCCCAAGCCAACTTACCAGTGGCAAGGCATTCTGGAAAATATCTCATAACACTCTGTTTGAAGTGTGCCCCTGAAAAATCTTCGTTTGAAGGGCCAGTTAGCCCTTACACTTCACCCCTCTTACCTCAACAAGAATCGGGACACCCTACGCCTAAATGTGAATGTGGTAGGGGGCAAG